CAGCCAATCTTTTTTTTCAGTGTATAACCACTTAAAAATTCTTACAAGTCTTATAGGAATATATTACGAGTCTTATAATTCTGCTTAGAATTTAGGTATAATTTTGGAAGCGAAGCAAAGAAAAAGCCATGTTCGCTGTGATTTTTGGAAATAGGTGTTATCCAATACTTTTTCTTTTATAATAATAATTGTATATTAGCAATTGCAACAGCTATGCGTCGCCTCCGAATCTTTGTTGCAGCTATAGCTGCTACTATGTGGGTATATTCTTTTACACACTCGATGTATTCTCATTTTCGTAATCCATTTTTGTAATCCATTTTTATTAAAATTTTTATTAAAATGAATTAAAAGCTAGTGAATATAAATGAGTGTATTCGTTAACTTAAAGTCAGCGAAAATACGCTCCATGAAAAGGAAGCAGGAAAAAAGCGAACAGCTTTCGAACGCTGTTTTTATTTTGGTGGAGTGAGGGTAAAAAGCCAGTTTTCTTTCGCTGCATGAAATTGCACCTTAAAACAATGTGTGTGGTAGTTCGCGATTATGTCGATGAACGTTCACGATCGTTCACGATCGTTGTCGAGCTCCGATGCTCCGAAGTTGGTCGTGTTTGCTTTCGCGGCTTACCGGAATGTAAATCGTCGTGTAAGAGAAATATAATTCAGATACGGTCGATAAAAGAAGCGATACGGAAGGACTTTCGAAATTTCTAACAGTGATGAAATAGATCTTTGAATAGATTTTGAACGTGACGACAGATTTAACGGTAGGACTTCGAGTAAGTAAGCCGATCTATCAGATAAATTTTTATCTGCCGTCGCAGATTGAAATTCGTGAAATTTTCAGTAGATAAGATTCTCTAGATGTACTGAAATGCGTTATCCTCGCCAGGATAAAAGTAACTGGTACAGAAATTTGTACGAACGTATCTTATAGAAATAGTAGCACAATTATCATATTAAGGTTGTGAAAGATTAATAGCATTTTTCAAATGTTCTTTAAAAAAATATTAATTTTTCAAGTTAAAAAAAGAAAAATGCGAATCAAGAGAATTTTTTACATTTAATTTATGTTTAAATAAAAAAACGGAAAATATGCTAATTAAAAGAATTTTTTATAAAAAATATCAACACTAAAAATTAAAATATTTATTATTAACACTGAAAATATATGAATTAATTTGTATTAAA